TTATCATTCTGTGGAGCGTGAAGGGTAAGTGAGGAGCTCGCTATTCAAGAGAACAGGAATAAACATTCCATTAGATATTAAAAAAAAAAAAAAAAAACTTGAAATATTGTCAGCTAATCAATTTCCTGTGTGGACATGCTCACTTTTAATGAAATTCAGTTATTAGTCCCTTCCCATTCTTTCAGTGTTTGGGAATATAATTACGCTCAAAATGCTTACTCATCCTTCTGCCTGCCTGCTGCCTACTCTGTCAGATGCATTAGGCCATGAAGCGGAAGAGATGAGGAGCCTGTGTCTGTATCTGTCTGTCAGTCCGCCTGACTGTCTGTATGCCTGCCTCTCAGATTATCCTGGATCAGGCAGCAGGTGACATGGTGAGCAGGTGACCATCACCCAATTACCAAAAAAAAGGAAACTTGAGAAGAGCTCCAGTTTAGTTTACATTTGTTGCTTTTGTCTCGTGTCTCTCTTGTACTTATTTTCTGCTACTTTTTCAAATCATTTTTACACTGTTTTCAAGCAGCATGCGCGTCAATAGCATTGCGTATATTTGGATAGTGCGCTCGTCCTTACGTGTCATTTCCAATTTTACACTTGATGAATTCAGCTGATTCTAATTGGTTAAACTAGTTGAAATTCTTTAATCACCAACTTCAGGAAGAAGGTCCACAATGTCCTGAAAATATCACACATACTGGCAGTTTTAGTGAGAAACAATGAGGGGAAATGATTGAATTTTTTTTCTCTTTTAACTCTAAAAATTACAAATCCAGAGGAAGAAAGACTCCTCTAGTCCACAGGTTATTCTTAGGGCAAGGGCAGGTCTCATCTTACACTCTTTGTTGCCACAAAAGAAGAGGAAGGTAGAGCTTCTTCTCCGCTTTTGTTAGGTGCAGGTGGGCTAGAATTACCAAAGTGATGGGATTTATGCTGCGTTGTTTCTGCATTTTTTTCTCCTGGCACGGCAGCGGAAGTATTGTCTGAAATTGCCAACGTAAATGTGATGATAGTTTGCTTCTCGAATAGAAAAGCACATCACCTCATTATGTGGGTTTTTGGTGTGCTGAAGTTAACACCAGATCCTATAGGTTCAGCAAATGATTTCCCACACAATGCGGTGTAACTTTAGAGGTGTGAGGGATTACAGCACTGGGAGGTGATTTAGCTCGGTTTAGTGACTGAACAAACCAGCAAGTCTGGGAAATATCTACCAGTTTGAGCCGTGAAACATTCTCCTGCCATTTTGACCCTTGGCTGGTTGTAGAAATAGGGCTGGAAATGGAGGACATTGACCTGGTGTCATGGACAGATGTACACATTAGTTTACAGTGGCTGCACTGCAGCTGTGCCGCTCAGGGAAATGGAATTGGCAAAAGGTATCACCTCTAATGTGACCGCTGTCCATGAACACTGGACTTAATACTGTATTTTAAAAAACCTTTTGTTGACTTGCTCTGCATCGATACAATAACTGGAATTTCTTCATCCATGACAGCATACATACAGATTGCTTAGTCGTCATGTCTGTGTTTTTGTAATTACTTCAGCCCAGTAATGCAATGTTCAGTTTCTCTCATTTCACCGACTGAGGAGAGCTTCTAAAATGCTGACCAAAATGACGACAGCGATTGCGTTAAGTAGCTGTTTATGGTAAATATCGTGTCACTTCCATGAGCATGTTCCATCATCGGCTAATCTGATTGGAACAGCCAGACCGCTCGTCATGTGTTCCAACAAGGTGTTGGGTTTCCCATAGTTCTAAGCTGTACAGTGACACGGGCCATTTGAAAGTGTGGCTAAAACTCTATGGAAGAAATGACTCGTTAAATTAGCACCTAATACTCCAGTCATTAGCAAGCCGTTACCACCAGTGGAATGCCTTTGAAGGCGCTGCTTTGTGTGAGCGGGTCCCTCGTAAGCTCCACTTGGAAAAAAAAAAATTTCTCCATTTGGACCTCTGAATATTACACAATCACCTTACATTGTAATACGCATAACTGAAACACTCCAAACGCGGATTTGGTGCCTTTTCTGACCCATAAACCGCTGATGTCATATCCACAAACAAAGCTGTATGTGGCGATTGTAAACGACGGAGCAGCATGAAACGCCGTAGTCCTTAAGAATCGGGTCTTTGGGGTGTTTAGTAAGCTGAAGGGAATTGTCCATTGTGGGGTGATATTAGTAACCCTCTTAGGCAAAGCTAGTCTGTGGGCCGGCCCTCAGGGCTCATTTCAAGTGCTTAGCGCTCGTTTGGAGCTTTGTCACCCCTCACCCTGTTGCCAGCATGGCCCCAGCCCCTCTGGCTGTGGAGCGGAGCTGAACCACAGACCTTTACCCCTGCCCGCCACCAGGGAGGGAACACTGACATCACAGCCCCAACACACACACACACACACACACACACACACACACACACTCGCGCACACATAATCGCACTTACATTGTGGCACACATCCATTTTCACATTCCCCCCCTCTTGCACCAGTGCACTACAGCCAATGGTCTATTTTCCCGCCGTCCACTCCCATCCAACACCCACCCCCCTCACCCCCTTCTTCTTATTTTTTTTTTTTTTTTCCTCTTTCTCCACCCTCGTGAAGGTTGCCAGGCAGCAGAGAAAGACTTCACACACACATACACCCCACTATGCCTCTGAGGGTTTTCCGGATGTCCTTGTTTACATCATGGAGTGTGCAGGTCGTAGGGAAGCAGACTCAGAGCCTCCCTGACTATGTCTGTCTAAGTCCTGCGCTGACCTCCATTCATTTGGTGTCAATGCAAATGTTCATGGCAGCGCCGCGGTTGGCGTATCGTTGGTAAAATAATTGCACTGCATAGTGTGTGAGCGTACATTTCATAAAAATTACTTTAAATGTTTTTCTTTGATCGTCATCATCCGTTTAACAGTGAAATGAAACAAGTTTATTCGGAGTGGAACTGCATGTAAAGTACGTTTTTATGTCCCTGATAACCAGTAACAGTTATCAGCTGGAATATTGGCTGTCAGTGATGTGTGCGATGGTTGCCGACTGTTACCAGGCTGTCTTTTCCCTCTGTGTGTCAAACCGATCGATCGGTTTTGTCTGCTCCTCCCTCCAACTTTGATGTTCCCATTGATTGTTCTCATCTGCCCCTGAACTCAAAGGTTAGAGGAGCTGAGCTGCACTTCTGGATTGCTTTGACCTTCGCTCTGCACATGCTCAGTGGGTTCACAGAGCCCAGAGCCAAACATACACGGTGTAGCCAGGCCCGTGGGTGCGTGACAGCCAGACAACGGTGTGATGTCTCTCTTTTTTTTTTTAAAACTCACCCACTGAGGTTGATGTATATGTGATTGATTTTTCTCCTACCCCTCTCACTACTGTGTTTCCGCTGCAGTGCACTAAGCAGGACTGAGTCCAGGCTTGATCAATGCATTGTTTTTCTTTTTCAATCACACTCGAGTGAGCTGAAGACACGAAAGGTTACACAGGTGAGGTTTGGCAGGGGTGGAAGCGGAGCAGAGCTTTTGGAGGCCCCCTCAAGGCCAATGTATGAGTTTGCATTGATGTTAGAGTGCGAGTTAGAGAAAGATTTGAATTCAGAGAGAAGTTGGGCCAGATTTTTGATGTGTTTCTTCTTGTTGGGGTGCGATAATTCATTTGTTCTACTGGGAATCATCATCCTTTTCTCCGTGTAACAATCAACAATTACAGATGTCAGATAATTTGCAGGGCAGCATGAAGACTGCTTTTCCTCTACTAAGTAGTGTGTATAGCAGAAAAGAGAGCACTTAAGCATGATCCACCTCACAGCAGCAGGCACACGAGGCTTCGTATCAGCATGAATCTCAGTGATGTGAAAACAGACTAAGGTGTGGAAACAGTGTTAAATAAAGGGTGGAAGTAGCCTACCCTATAGGGGTAAAGAGCGATGCGTAGTTGTGAATTATCTCTTAATAATGACGCAGCTAAATCCTGTAGCCAAACACCTAGTCGTTAGGAAAAAGATAAGTATCTGTGGGAGTGGAAGGGCTCTACTAAAGCTGGATGTCTGGAGGGGATAAGGATGTGGCGGGCAGGGAAGGTTTAGAGGGCCGGGGTGGGGTGGGAGCGCACTCTTTGACCAGCGGGTTTCAGATGTCATGGCAGATTCTTTCAGGGGCAAATTACAGGGTTTAGCTTCTCTTGTACCCAGAATGGCAGTATTCTGATTTAACTTCCTCGATAGACACTTGAGCAACCTGCTACTCAACACCATTGTCGGGGGACACACTTGACTCCGGAGATACTTCACCTCCTCTCACGCTCTCAGCGGCTCTTCAAGACTTTGTTTGGTTGGAGGGCCTTTGGCGGCCTTTCATGCCGGTTCTGGAGAGGGCACGAGCACTGTAGCCCCTCTTAAGCTTTATAGTGGTTAGCATGTTGGTGTTAGGGGGGTTTACATGAGTGGCCCTCATTAACCTCTTAGCGTCTTTGTGCTTTGAGTTTGGCACAGGGCTGCTCCACAGATAAGCTTTTTTCTGTGAAACAGCTAAAAAAGACTGGATTGTAATGACTCTGGTGTTGGCTGAGCATAATCATTTGTGTTACAGTAAAGCAATCGACACGAGCGCAAACACCTCCGTCCAGATTCTCAACGCGCATTTGTGTCTGAACACACGTTTCCCTCATAAATGCGTGATTTTTGTGCCCCAGACACTCCTACCTCACACACACTCAGACACACACACACACATACATATATTCCCTGTGAGGTGTAACAGACCTAAAGCTCTCTGAAGCATTTAGCAGCACGCTAGCAGGTTTACTCCATGCTGCCAGTGCTGAGCGGAGTGCTGAAGCATCTAATGCAATTTCAACCCAACATGGCACTCTGTGAATAAGCATCACTGAAGTGTACCATCTACTGTATGTTGATCCACTGTGCTGCTTGCTTTTTGCACCATACAAGTGATCCTACACTCTGACCCTCTCCCTCCCTCTCTCCCTCCCTCTCTCTCTCTCTGATTTCTGTAGAGACTGCATTTGCCTCCAGACTTGTCTGAGACGGTGAGTCGTGTGAGCAGGGGGGAGCTGGCAGGAGCGGCCATGGTGGCTTCAGCCTGTGGCTCCGGCACTTCCGGCACCAAACACCTGGACTTCTAGAGCTCCCACACAGTCGCCATGGGCAACCAACACCTGGAACGCCGCGGCGTTGTCCTCTTTACCGCGGTGACCAGGTTGCTCCCTCGCCCACGGAATGTCAACCGCGATAACCCTGCCAGCCATTACCACCTGCCAAATGACCCAGCCAGCGGTGAAGATCTAAACATCCGCAGTACCTCTTCTCATAACGGACACATTTCATCCTATATTTCAGGCCCTTCCCCCCTTTTCTTAAGCATGCTGCACACTCTCTATGTGTTTTCTGACAGCCGATATTGGCACATTCCAAGCTGTCATGAGAAGCTCATTTAACTTAGGTCACTAGCCGAGCTTTTATCCCCACGGTTTGCTTTATTCCCTGTAAGATGCAAGAAAGTGTGAACCCTATGGTGTTTTGAAATGCTACATGAAGGTATATGACTGGCAGGGAGACTTATCCAAGTCAAATCCAAGGTGGGGAATGAGCTTTAGGGATTTTGTTTACAAGTTCTGTGTAATCATGAAATATTTTTTAGTCTTTTTTTGGCAAACATTAAATAACTAAGTTCCTGCTTAAGTCCACCATTCACAGCAAATACTGTTTATTTTCAGGGTAATGAAATGTGCTTTTACGAACTTAAATAAACGAGAACAATTACACAGAAGCGCGCTCTTTATTCGGTTTTAACTCAGCCGCACCGCAACACCAACTCTGTGAGTGTTGTTATGAATGACTGATCTCTGGTCTGCCTGACTGGTTTCAGGTTCGAACAGGGATGCCTCCATCTGACCCTGAGACCGTTCCCGGTGAGCGACGTCCACCTCCAGTAAGCAAAAAAAAAAAAAAAGCCGAGCAGGAATATGGGCAGAGGGTAGGAGAGCTGGATTTGGGTGCAGGCTTCACACCTCATCAGGCATGTTTGCTGGATGAGCTGCTTTGCCATGACAAGCCCAAAAGAACAAATTAGGTCAAACGGTGACATGGAGAAACAGAGGCAAAAAAAAACAAAACACACACAAAACATGAAAAATTAAATGTTTCATTTTTGTTTTCCTCAGTCTGCTGCTGATGCCAGTTTGAATATTTTTGCCCGCAAAAACTGGCAGTATTGGTAACCATCTGCAACACGTGTTGGGAGAGGGTAGTGTTACCTGACAGTTTCATACATGAGTGGAGCGCTTCTATATCGGCTTTAGGAGAGAGAGAGAGAGGGATGACATCCACAGGTCACTTATACAGGTGAACGAAAGCCTGCGTTAAGATACAAATAGTTTTCCAAGTTGCTGTTTGAGGAGCTGACATATTCAGGGTACGCTTTTAAGGTAGATTAAAATAGAATACATTCATGTTGGCATGTGTTTATGTTGCTATACTGCTGGCGTGTCTGTTTGGGTTTTTTTATTTTTTTTTTACAACTTTTAACCCTGTCAAGTTTCTATGTCACCGTGCTGATTCACTTTTTGTCCGGTCAGTTCACAATCAGTTCATTTTGTAAAAGTTCTAAAACCATCACAAAGTTTTATAGTTTCTTCTTCACACATAAAGAATTGTTGAGAATTTACAGAAAGTTCATTTAGAGATTTGTAAATTGAGGCCAGTTTCAAGATTCACATTAAAAAAAAATTATTATTATTTCTGCTATTGCTCCCTTCAAACAAAATTAGTCAGACGGTGCCTGTGGGTGATGATTAGAAACGCATACTTCTGTATGCAGTAGATATTAGTAATGCAAGGTATTGGGAAATTTCAATTGACTCATTTTGGATGCTTTTTTTTAAGCTTTCTTTTTAATCTCTCCTTCCTCAAAACCCATTACACATCCTTATAATAGTAAAAAGATATATATTTATCTGAATAAGATCTGCAACGCCTAAGTTGAACATCGTGCACCGTTTTACAGGCCCGACTTCTTGAGGCCATCACATGGCCTGTAGCAACAGAGAAAACACGGGACTCTGAGTGCGGAGAATACATTTGTATAATTTTGTTTTTGGCAGCTGTCGTTCATATTGATTGTTACCCAAAAGCCAAAGCTGTTGTCCTGCAGTCGCTTCAACTGAAGTCTCACACGTCACCTCGCAGCACAATTCAAGTCACACAAAGTAGGACAGCCGTGTTTTTTTAACCACCTCATAAATATCTGCCCGCCAATTTTGGATCAATAAATAATTAATAGAGATTAACAGCGTGTTTTGCTATAGATTAGATAATGAAGGTCCTCATACTTGTCAAATACAGTTTAGAAAACACGCCAAGCTAGTCTGGCATTAGTTTTTTTTTTACAGTGGTGAGGGAAATGTTCCTTTGCTCGAAGCACACACTCATACAGAGAGAATTTAGCTGCTGACACTAAGTAGGAGGGTGTCAGCTTCTGTTTTCGCTGCTGCGGGAATTCAGATGAAGATTTCTCCAGGTCAGAACTATTGTCTCGTTTTAAAAAAAACACACGGAAAAAGTAGAAAGTTCTCCGGAACTTTTACAAGAAACTCACGTTGCCTCGACTCTGTGTTCCGAGCGAGAATCACATTTAAACCATTTCATCCCAAAGCTGTGTATTATTTAGGCTTCCACTAATTGCAGTCTTTCTTGCATTTTGAATCTCTCTTTCATTCTCTCTCTGTAATTATTAATGTTCCTCCTCTTGTGTCGGAGCAGTCGTCTAGTCGGTTCTGTCTCTCCAACCTCCTCCCCCTCAGAACAGTATTCCTCCATTTGTGTGATAAACTGGATTAAATGAATAGAGAAATTGCATTAGCCTCAGAAAATTACAAAAAAAAAAAAAATCCGATTAACCTCCAATCTTCAAACTCTTCTGATTGAACTGTTAAATATTGAGCGAATTGTGTGAATTCAGTTAATGAATTTAGTGAGATGTTTGGTGCCGTTACATCCCGTGTGAATGTTACCTGACCCTTACTTTCTCCTGGATATCTTTCTTTTTAGATGCTCTCTCTCTCTCTCTCTCCCTCTACACACACACCCCTTTAAATCCACACACACACACACACACACACACAACCCCCCTGCTGAGGCAGCAAGTGAAGCAAAATAACTCACTCTGCCACACAATCGCTCCTCTGCCTCGCTCTAGGCACTGACTGCTTTATTCCATGACTTTTTTTTTCTCTCTTCTCTGCTCCCTCCTCCTCCTCCTCCTCCTCGTCAGTGGTTCTGTATTTTTTTTTCTTTTTTCATACCATCGTAACTCTACTAAAACAAGAGCTAGTGATGGTGAATTGCTTGACCTTTCTCGTTGTGCGGCGGCGGCGGCGGCGGTGTGGTGCTGTGTGGTCTGTGTCCACTTTGGTTCAGGCCCATACATCAAGAGAGGTTTGTTATTTTGGACACCTTTGTTTGGTGGGAACTGGACGTGTTGCTATGTGTATTACATGGCTGTTTTACCGGCATCAGAGTTTGAAGGCAAAAAAAAATTCTGTCAATTTTTAGTCTCTTAAACTTGCTTCAGCACAAACTGACACAGCATTGACCAGGCAAAAAGGCTTTCTTTAAGACACAATTTTACTGTACAAAATGTTTTTATAGTTTTCACAAAATACATTTAGAAAGCTCCATTTTAAATAAAATTAAATTGAAATATTTAAGAGACAGCGTGTAGACGTTTTTATCTCAGAAGCAATGCTCAGACGTAAACCCAGTATGTGTCCATGTTCTACGTACACACTGAAATAAAAATGCAAAACTCAAAAGAGCATGACAGATGATGCTAGAAAAACCCTCCCATGGTCTTCAATTATAAATAAGGACTGCGGGGTTCGACTGCAGTCTCACGAACTCGAAGCCAATGTAATTGAAACAGAACGTGTTTACAAAAATTTTGCAACACAAGACTAATATCTTTAAAAAAAACATTGTGTACTAGATGAAATACAAAGGCTTTGGTCTGTTTTACAATCAACAATGATTAAATCTGATATGTACTTGTAAACAACTGCCAAACACTTAAGTTTAAAACTCTGTCAAGCAATGTTTAATCATAATTATAGGAATTAAATATTTCTAGTTGCACATTTTTTTTTTTTTTTGACCATAGGACACTATAATACAACTATACCTAAGAGACAAATTGTACCTGACCCTAAAGAAATGTATTTTATGATGCATGGAACATTTATAGAATATTCTCGGGGATATAAATGAAATCAACTTTTATTGGAGAAATCTTTCTGGAAGATTTCTAGGGAAGACAAGTACTTTACATTTTGACATAAACAAACTGGATTATATCGAAGACGCAGTCTACCATTTACAGACTACAGGTTTTCTTTTACACCTGTTTTCCACATTTAATGTTCTCCGTTGTAAATCTAGAGTCAATCCAACCACCGAAGCAAGAGGTCCAAGTTCCCGTTGCGTGTCGCACCGTCTTTTTGCACGCTTGGAGCTGTTGATAGTGATCCGTGTCTAATAAGCCGGCAAAGGCAGGCCCACGACAGAGGAGCCAAGACCACAGCCTCAGTGGGTGGATCGAGTTTGAGTTTCCTCTGCTAAATATCCATTCGTAAGAAATAAGACCAATAAATAGTTGCTTTTTTTTTTTTTTCTGACACAGTAAGAGTCTTCCCTCCAGCTTTTCGTCTTTAATGATATGCAACAGCGTCCAGAGACCATGCAAAGCCTGGTAGAAAGTCTCGATATAAGCAGATTAAAAGATAGTCATGGCAGAATCTCTCAGGTTCTCCTCTCTCAAACAAACGCAAGACCAACATGGTTTTCTAGCAGTCCATCTATCAGTACTTGATCTTGGTTTTTCATATTAACATACAAATGGCCATTTACAAACACACCAGAGAAAAAAAGGAAACAATGACTGAAGTTGGAAATAGAAAAAAAAAAAAAAACAGATAAGTTTTTTGTTCCATAAAAATTTAACACCGGGCACTTTACAGAGGTCCATTTTTTTTTCTGTCCTTTCCATCGTTGTTCTCTCTCTTCCAAGTCCTCGTTTGAATGTGCCTAGAGCTACATAACAGCACACTGTCCCACTGGAAAAACAAAGCCCAGACGTCCCAAGGCTCTCCCAGAGTCTCTCTCTTTCGTTCCTTCCTTCCTTCCTTCCTTTCCTCTCCTCTCCTGTCTGTTGCCTCTTCTCAACCCTCTCTCGCCGTCTCTACTCTCCTGTGCCGTGTATGTGTGAGGAGCACTGCCGGAGGGCGATGGTGGAGTGGGTGGTTACAAGGTGAAGTAGCTCTTCTCTCTACTGTAGTCTTGACCAGTACTGAGACATGTCAGGCTCGCTCCCTGGGACTTGGACAGGGACAGACACTCCAGGAGAGATGAGTCCTGCAGAGACAAAAAGAGAAAGACATGAGCGCACAAACAAAACAGAAACAACCAAAAGAAAAGACAAGAAAGAAAGAAAAAAAGAAAAGCCCCAGAAGTCTACATGCCAAATTAGATGCACCATGCACAGTCAGTGTGACAGCTAACACGGGTTAGCCTTATAGCACAGAGCATTGTGCTTTAAATGCTTGCAAATAGGTGGACGAGCACGAGGCCGCAATGAGTCACAATGCTCTGCACACGGTTGCTCAGTAAAATGCTTGCAAGCTCGATAAATTGAGGCTTTGGCAATGGCATTTAAACAGAGAGAGTACAACAGCAAATGAATCAAATTAATTAGCAATTTAGCACAGAGGAAATGTGGTTATGCATGATTAACTCTTCATGACTATAACCGGTATATATGGCTCTCAGTAACAGCATCCTAATGGGGTGGAACTAAACTATGGGCTGGAGTCGTGGGATTGACATGATGGCCTAGAGTGGCGATGAAATGAGCTTTTTTTTTTTTTTTTCCATGCAACTGCAGAGAGAAAATGATATGGGATGTAGAGATATTGATTCTCAAGACACTGAAGCCATGAAGTTTCTCAAGTAGACGGAAAGGAAAGGGAGAGTTGCCGTGAAAGATCATGAATCAGAGATGGCTATGTAGTACCCCCTGATTAAAGGAAAGGTGGCAGATATCTCAAAGACTGTTTGCTCCTATTAATTCCCAAGCATGTTGGTAAACAATGAACTTTCTGCCTACCTGTTGAGGTGGTACCAGAAGTGGTCATTGATTGGCTGTTCATATGTGCCTGCATATGAGGGGGCGTGTATGTTTCGTAGCTCCGCCCGTTCACAGGCGGACTGGTAGGCAGCATGCAGGAATAAGAGGAGGTCTGGCTGGGCTATAGATGAGGAGAGAATGTTACATTAGCTTAGCCAACCATAGTTTTCAGCTCAGTAGTCTGTAAAGCTGCAGTTTAGTATGATTTTATTTTTGGAAATAATTCTTTTTAATATCAGGAAGCCATTATTCAGATTAAAAATATATGTAATTTAAAGGATTTTTTAAAAATTTAAAACATTTAAATTCATCATGGTATGTTTGATACCACTCTTATAATCACATCAATTATCAGAACATTCACATATTTTAAAAAAAAACATGGCTGTCTCACTGAATGGGAATTATCTTTTACTTACTTGCATAGGTAGATTATTTGCCATGGTGAAGCTGGGCATGGGGGGCAGCGCACTGTAGGTGTTTGTGAGTGCAGAGTCAGGTCTACCCAGCATTGACCCCGAGGTGAAAGACACTGAGAATGAAGAATGAAAATATGGTTTAAAAGAAAATAATAAAAAAAAAAATAAAAATCACACAAAAGTCCTCCCAAGTGTGAGAGATCATCTCATTAGTAGTGCGTGCGTGAGGCGACGTCTTTCTTTGACAGACTCATGGATAGGCCCGGACAGACTCTGTGTCTCAGGTGATTGACTTGTGAGCATGAGCCTTCAGCTCTCCCGGTGTGCCCTCGTGCCTGATTCGGTAATTACGCAGATAGTCAGCTGAGAAGTTTTGCTCAATCATCCATCAAAAGGAAAGCACCGGCGCTTCTCCGTGTGAACTAGAGCGCACAGCCACCGAGGCCTCTTTCCCCCGTTTTTATATGAATCCGCATGCTGTGATATAATAACGTTTAGTGATATTTCACATGGATCCTGTCTGACTTGAACCCATGGACAGCTATGTGTCGTTTTAGACATTATTTCAGCAGTGAAACTATGTGTTAGGCTAGTGTCACTAACTACTCCATGCCTGTGCGTAATTTTACGCAGCGTAAAATTTGACAAATTCTTTTTTTTAACATCAAGTTGTAATATTATTTGGAGGGATGGGTATGTGTGTGTGTGGTGGACCTACCCGGTGTGGTGGGCTGTGGGATGGCCTGGTAGACGCTGGTGCTGAAGCTGCTGCTGATGGGAATGTGACTGGAGGAGTTGTTGGCCTGCCGGCGCTGGTTCCGCAGCTTCTCCTCTCGCCTCCACTTTGCTCTTCTATTTGAGAACCATACCTGCGATGAAAATGACCTCGTTTTAGTTTTTTTTTCCGCGCAGACATTAAATTCGAGACAGCTTTTAAATACTTTTACACACAAAAAAAAAGTTGTGATCACTCACTTGTATTCTTGCTTCGGGCAGGTCGATTTTCGCTGCTAGTCTTTCTCGCGCGAAAACATCTGGATAGTGAGTTCTTTCAAATTCTGCAGTGCAAGAAATCAAAGTGTTAGGAAATAAGTGATAGATGAGGTGGACAGTGATAAATGTTTTGCAGGGCTTCAAGTGTAATAAATGTCTAAAACATTCAACTAGTGACGGTGAGAAACCGAGCAGCCTAACTGGTTTTCTTTAGTTTAATTACCAGACATTTGTTTAAACAGACAATTAATTATTAAATGTGTAAATTATTCTCAATTATCCGACCTTTTTCCAGTGCCTCGATTTGCTCCTGTGTGAAGGACGTGCGGTTTCTCTGTAGTTTCCTCTTGAGCTGCAGTCGCATCTGCGTCTCCTCTGAATCTTCTCCGTTCGAGCTGATGGAGTTTGTGTTTTCTCCTGCACCGTCTTGTTGTTGGCAGCCATCTGAGAGGGAAGAGGGGGAAAAAAAGAAAAGGAAAAAAAAAACACTTAATGGAAATATACATTCACTTAAGCTAATTGAATAATTAATTATCGGGCCTCATGTTGTATCAGCTTACAGCTAATTGTACAGACTGCGGTGCTACATCATTAATTAAAGCACCCATCATGCTTAATTTAATTCAAAATCGGAGGAATTATTGCAATTTCTTCTTAATGTTGCCAGATTACACACGACTGCCTGCGTGAAAGGGAACAATGTCAAATAAAATAAATAAAAGGAGAAAGAAAGGCTGCGCGGTTAGAACTGTTTATAAAATATTGTGGGAAAAACAGGCCGGCGAGGTAAGGTCCTGCGTACTTATCGCGTCCCAACAATGGCGTGTGTTCTCAAAAGGTTAAGAGAAATGTGACAAGATGTGGCGAGCCTCTTTTCAGAGCCTATGAAATGTATTAAAACCCCAAACTCTGTGCGCAACCCCCCTACTTCTTCTTCTCTCTTTTTTTTTTTTTTTTTTTAGAGGACAGAGCAGTGCCTCAATGGTCGTTCCCATATGGGCGTTGGCATCGCCATTGAGGTGACCACCAACTTTTGAATAGGAGAAGACGCTTTTCAGAATGATACAATGCCTTCAGGAGTAAGGGAAACCATTAAACTATGGACACAGGCAGGGACGAGCAGTGAGCCCTCGGTGGGTGTAATATATGGGAGGGGGGCTTTTGGAGGAGATGACAAAAGGATCCTCTCTCTCTGGAGGCGCACAGGCTATAGTACTTTGGCATTGTGCGCACGAGGATCCCAGTCAACAGAGCTTTGAGTCCAGTGTGTTAACCCTTATCCACTACCATCATTAATCACGTCCCCCGGCCAGCTACACGCCAGTCAGGATTTCTGTCTTCAATTGGAAACAAATGAGTGAGGAGAGAGCATGCAACCCCCTGAACAACCAAAATAAGGCCAATCTATTCACTGCTCCTGCTTGTCCGCGGTGGGCCCAAAGGCCCCTTCAGTTGCAGGGCGAGGCTTATCGACTAATGTCTGTCTTGTTGTTGGACATCATTATCACACCGAGAAGTTAATGCGAAATTAAGCAGCGGGTGCGTTGATAGAGGGAGGTTTATGTAATATCTCACTGAAGTCTGTCTGTCTGTCATGGGTGGAAGATGCATTTCAGTTTTTTTGTGCGCACAGGTTTGGTTTATGTGTTTTAATTGGAGAAGTGGAGCTGGAACAGGTGGAACTGGTCCTGCAAAAAAAAAAGCAAATCCGTGGTCCAACAAACGAAATATGGCAGTTACATTTTTTTTCTCCCCTCCACATCATTTCCTCCTGCTTTATGTTAGGCCTGGAAACATATTTAGCGCGTCTGCATGTGAAGAAGTCTCGGTTCAGTGAAGGAAACCTGATGCGACACTTTTCTTGACAATTTCCCTTTGCTGCATAATAGACAAAGTATTCTTCTATAGGCCAATAGTTTGTATCCACGCTATTTGTTTCTTCACTCCGGATAATCCATAAAAAGGAGTGAATGTGCAGCTATTATCCGTCTGCCAGACCCACTGACGCTGGGATGGGATTTGTTTTCTTTATAAAAGCGCTGGGAAATAAACTCATTCTTTAGTATCACGATGTCTCAGCCAGTGAGGCGGAAAAGCAGCAAAAAAAAAAAAAAGAGAGAGAGAGAGAGATACCGAACCAATTGCGGCACCTTTCAGCTGCTGAGACTGGATCAAAACACTCTTGAGAAACCGCTTAAAACTGAAAGAGAAAGTGAGAGACTAAATCCTATAGACGGGATTTAGAGCCATATAGCCAGCGACTGAGAATGAGAAAGAGATGAAAGACGAAATCGGTGCGGAGTTTTATTCGTGGCCTCTTTTGGATAGAGTTGTCTTCTTTTGGGGGCCCTGTCACTCTCCATGTAGCCTTTATATCTGCTTACTCGGCTGTCTGATGGAAAACATATTTTCGTTCCCCTGAGACAACTGCTTTACGCAAATACTTAAAAACACAATAAGCACATTAACATCTCATTACTCTTTATTATTATGATGATTAGTATTATTTAGAAATTCTAAATATAAATTTTAAAATAAGTAACATTAATAAGACAACATTATCTGTATGAGAGACCATCATATTTTTTTTATTTTTAATTTCATATGATTGAATAATAACAATAATAATAATAATAATTAGAATGAATTAGCTATTATTGTGTCTAAATTAATTTAATTTAATATAATCCTTTCCACTTTACTGCTTGTTGCCCCACGTGTCCAAAACGCTCATCAAACAAATGCAAATTTTTTTATTTGCTCCGACTGAATTCCAACACTTGCGCGTTCTGGCGCGCATGAATCAGACACAATGCTTCATCGTAATACTTGTTTAATGAGTGAGTGTTTAAAGAAGCAAAGCAAACCTTTAAAAAAAAGAAAAGAAAAGAAAAGAAAACAGTGGTGATTCTTGTAAGAAAATGTGCTCAGTGCTTTGGCCTTGCAGTAGGCCGAGAGGAAAAAAAACCCTCTGAAGTGGAACATTTCCACAGCAGCCTTACCATCTCCACACTCCTGCATGTTGCCATAATGAGAGACAAAGCCCTCTCTAATGAGCAATTACACGTAGTGCGGACCGTTCCCATAACCAATCATTGCGTGTGAAGGAAAACATTCCTTTGTACTAATATCCCCGCACACAGCCTCCCCGGCTCTGCCTCCCCATCAGGAGGGGAGGAAAAATGCAGGCTGTTGGATGGACACCTCTGCTGAAAGGACAAGCCGCTGTCACGCACATCCATGTCTGGGACAGTGGAGGCATTCAGACTGCATGCACGGCCTATGGCTTTCCTCTAATCGACAAGTCTTAATTGGGGGTCTTGTTCAGGGCATGCCAATACAATACCTTCCTGCAGACAGAGCCGTGGAGCGTAACCACTGGAATAGTGAGCTGCAAAACTATTCATCAATTTATGGTGACCTCTGCGGAGTTCACTTTTTATCCTGATGCATCCAGCTTCACATACTTTTTATTTCTTTTTTGAGGACCTGAGAATCTAAAATCAAAGCCTCCACCGATCCTTTTCTTTTGATTACAACCGTGCATGCGTCAAGGTGTCTTTATTGCCACCGTGTGATAATGAGGCTCACCTTGGTTGGGCTGCCCTGGCACTGATGTTCCGGGGTACCAGCCGGGCCGGGTCCCCCAAGTTCCTGTCTGACCGTTGAGCATTCTCAGCTTGTCATACATGCCATCTGCGCCCATCTGTTGCTTTTCACTAGCCAGGTTGCGAAGGACTCTGTTTATTGATGACACCTGAATGACAAATTACATATGATAAAAGTGAGGATTAGGATTTTTAGACGGAGGGAGCGCCGGCATCGGTGCGCCTCTGCATGCGGGTGTGCGCAAAAAAAAAAAAAAAAAAAAAGATGGAGGTGCGCACCGAGTTCACGGCACCACACATCGTAATCATAATAATAAATACACGGGAAGATTCCTGCAAGGCGCACAAATGGACAGCGAGCTTCTTCTAATTGAGTGTATGTTTGGGTGATCACATATGCGATGCGTAATGCGCGACCCCCCCACATACACACACACACTTTGAAACGCAGTGTATTTAATAAGACTGAATGGTTGAATGCCCATCTCCTTTTCCTCCAGTGCATGAGAAAAAAGTCACTTCATGTGGCAAATTAAATCATGCACACAACTTACAGTCAATACACTTACGCTGGGTATATTGTCGTTGGTGCAGATCCCCTCCGACAGAAGTCTGTCCCGGATCTCCCACGCGAAGATAGACGGACACTCCCGCTTGTACTGCGCGATTTTCGCGACCACCTCTGGAGTGGCGACCCTGGGCTTGCTGCCGCCTATTGCTCTCGGTCTTATGGAGCCAGTTTCATAATATCTACCCAGGATCTTGCTCACGCAGCCGTTGGATACCTGGATGGAAAACAAAAGACACAATTCACATACATTATTTACGACTATTAACGGAATTTCTAAGATGGCTCAAATAATTATCACCTTTTCACTGTCCAGCACTTGGACTTCATCATGGGTCTACAAACACAAAAAATATGCCTTGAATGGTATATTAGGCATTTATGCTTTATAATAGCAGGCAGATTACTTTCTTTAAATTTTGTCAGCCTTTTTTTTAAATTAATTTATTTTAATGTTTTAATTTTATTTATTTTTTTACATTTCCAGTAAAGAAATGATATTTTTTTTTACTAATGCAAACAGGAACTGTAAAAGGAAAACAAACCGTTCCATCTTCTCTATTTTGGCTTCATGATTTAATTATGAAAAGGTCATTTTGCATCCACTGAAAACAAAGTCTGCATAAACCTGTTTTCCGTTCATTAAAAACAAAGGACTGTGATTGTCACCTGCAGTATCCTGGAGATGTCGCAGGGTCGAGCACCACTGTGAGCAAGTTCAACTATTTTCTGCCTGGTGGAATCCGGCAGCGGTCTACCATTAACAAACACACCACCAAGCTGGTTTACGCCACTGTGACCTACATGGAGACAAAAGCATCGGAGTCATCACATCGTGTCATAACTCCAGTTGGAAGAAAAAAAAAGAAAAGAAAATTAAAAATAAAAAAAAATAGGCCTATGATAAAGTCAATGATTTTCATGTAATGGTGAGCAGAATGGTTGCAGCGTTCAGGAAAACCGGGTTAAAGATGCAACATGGAGACAGCAGAGTTCAAAAAAATTAACTGCTTGTTCTTTGTCAAAAGCATCTTAAATTGCACTGATGAGAGAATAATCCTAAGAAGCTGTTCCAGAGCTCCGCTTCTCTGAACATTGCGCAGCTATCCAGTAACGCATGCAGCAGCACATGGATTCAACGACAGCATCACGACCCAAAACATCTCAATGTGTTGTTATTATTTTTTTCTAATAATAAATCAAAAGCTTAGTCGCTCTTCTGCCGGGAGAAAACTCAACCAACCTTTTATCAAACCGGCAAACTTGGATATTAAAGCACCGTTATCCATCCCATCAAAAAAAAAAGAAGCAGCAGCTCCTCACTCCTCAACTGTCTTCCAAAAATAAAATAAAATAAAACAGCAACAGCGACAATCTCATAAAACACCACCGTGAAATAATGCCTTAAATTCATTCATAAGCATCGCCTTTGCAGGAAAGTGGCATTAAATCGCCAAACGCTTCCTTCAAAACACACCATAATTACGCACGAGTCAGACAGAGGCTGCTAAGACACTAGCTCCGAAATAGCTTCTTTTTTTTTTTTTTATGATTGCTTATCCTTTTTTAAAATGATTGCTTTTTTTGGGGGAAATTATCTCTAAACTGTTCTATGGCATCTCTCTTAAAAGCACAGAATAAAGCTCGCAAACCTGAAGCCAAATGGGAGAGTTGACTCCCCGGAGTGCCTGAGCTGCTCTCTGCTCCTCCGCTGCCTTCCCCTGCGCTGCCGCCCGGTACATTGACTCCGGGAGCAGAGGCTCCTTAGCAATAAATAAGCTCCAAATATAGAAGAGGGGGAAAATATGATGAGCCTGGCTGACATTTGTCTTTAAAATAAAGCTAGCTGCACGTCAAGTTTGAGCTTAATTTCTGGAAATAGGCGGAAGTCGCCTCGGATCATGCATGGGAGGCTAATTGAAAAGATCAGTTGGAGCACTTGTGGCAGGCATGTCACTTTATGACACCGCTCTGCTTTTGAAAATCGCATCGTCACGACAAATAGTAGCATGATAAAACGACCCTTTCTGTCTGCATTTGGATATCACTCAGACAAAATTGGACGCTACTCGTTTACCCTCCGAGGGAGACTTAGTTTTAAGGTGGCCAGGGGCTACGCGCGGTCACACAAACGAGGGCGCGCCTGGATTCTTAACATATTAAAAGTGACATGCAGTGTTTTTTTTTTTTCTTTTCCTCCTTCTCTCCCCCCCTTGTTTGTATTTGACAACAAATGCTCACAGCCACTGCAGTCCTGTTGTGTGGAATCGGTGGGCGTCTTTACTCTGAAATGTGCCATATAGGACTGAGCTTTGAAAGCAGGTTTGATTTTATAGAAATGACCAACAACATAACAAGAAAGAAAGAAAGAAAGGAAGAAAGCAAAAGCAGGGAGGCTGTTTATACTCGAGTGAGAATCAACCTGTTTAACTGGGTGACAGATCCCCTTTTGGCCGCTATGTGTAATAATCTTCCAGCGTGGATCTGATTGATAGTAAATCCATTATCATCCCTCCTGCTCTTTGGTAATTCCAGGATTAAGTGGAATTAATAGACTTCTTACGCTGAAATTGGCCTCCCCACATTAAGCAGCGCTGCTCTGCGGGTTCTCCGGGGCTGCCCTCTGATTTACAACTGTCATATAAATCCTCCCTGATCGATAAAGCAGTCAGATAACGACATCACATTAAACAGAAAAAAAAAAAATCTAACTCTTCCTATAAGGTTAAGTCTTAATCATGGCACCAATTCCCTCAAGTGCCCAGAGTCGATCTCGCCCGCTGGCGCTGATTATGCGCCTTGTATTCTATTGCAAGTCGACTAATAGGAAAACATATGGTGTCAATTTGGACGCTCCCCACCATATACACCCAGGAGTTATTAGCACAAAAGCCAGCGAGGCCGTCGCGACCTTTAGACAACCCAAAGGGCCGGGCCCAATGATATCTCCTCGGCAATTCGCAGCAGACATCACACGCCAAAGCCAGGGGAGCATCCCATTAACATCAATCCGCAGCAAAAGCAGGAGCACCGGCTATTGTACACAGCTTTGATAAGGCTCTGTCAAGCTCTGGAATGGACAACTGGCAACAACCCTTCTCCAAAAAAAAGACAGAAAAAAAAAAACAGCCACCAGTTTGTTTTAAAAAATAAATACTTTTCCATCACTTTTTTTTTTTTTTACGCGCGTTTTTTTCTCACATCAAACAATCCAACCGTCACCTGAGAGTCCAACAGTGGATTCCAAACATGTTTAAAGGGACTAAAAAAAGAAATGCGCACAGATTACAGCACAGACACGTCATCAAGGTATATGGAGAATAATATAATAAAATTATTCCACACACCTTCATCACAGATGTCATACACCTCTTGTCCAGCAGCAAGAGAGAAAATGTTTCATGTTTATCCTTTTTGGTTTCAACACACACACACACACACNGCAGCAAGTGAAGCAAAATAACTCACTCTGCCACACAATCGCTCCTCTGCCTCGCTCTAGGCACTGACTGCTTTATTCCATGACTTTTTTTTTCTCTCTTCTCTGCTCCCTCCTCCTCCTCCTCCTCCTCGTCAGTGGTTCTGTATTTTTTTTTCTTTTTTCATACCATCGTAACTCTACTAAAACAAGAGCTAGTGATGGTGAATTGCTTGACCTTTCTCGTTGTGCGGCGGCGGCGGCGGCGGTGTGGTGCTGTGTGGTCTGTGTCCACTTTGGTTCAGGCCCATACATCAAGAGAGGTTTGTTATTTTGGACACCTTTGTTTGGTGGGAACTGGACGTGTTGCTATGTGTATTACATGGCTGTTTTACCGGCATCAGAGTTTGAAGGCAAAAAAAAATTCTGTCAATTTTTAGTCTCTTAAACTTGCTTCAGCACAAACTGACACAGCATTGACCAGGCAAAAAGGCTTTCTTTAAGACACAATTTTACTGTACAAAATGTTTTTATAGTTTTCACAAAATACATTTAGAAAGCTCCATTTTAAATAAAATTAAATTGAAATATTTAAGAGACAGCGTGTAGACGTTTTTATCTCAGAAGCAATGCTCAGACGTAAACCCAGTATGTGTCCATGTTCTACGTACACACTGAAATAAAAATGCAAAACTCAAAAGAGCATGACAGATGATGCTAGAAAAACCCTCCCATGGTCTTCAATTATAAATAAGGACTGCGGGGTTCGACTGCAGTCTCACGAACTCGAAGCCAATGTAATTGAAACAGAACGTGTTTACAAAAATTTTGCAACACAAGACTAATATCTTTAAAAAAAACATTGTGTACTAGATGAAATACAAAGGCTTTGGTCTGTTTTACAATCAACAATGATTAAATCTGATATGTACTTGTAAACAACTGCCAAACACTTAAGTTTAAAACTCTGTCAAGCAATGTTTAATCATAATTATAGGAATTAAATATTTCTAGTTGCACATTTTTTTTTTTTTTTGACCATAGGACACTATAATACAACTATACCTAAGAGACAAATTGTACCTGACCCTAAAGAAATGTATTTTATGATGCATGGAACATTTATAGAATATTCTCGGGGATATAAATGAAATCAACTTTTATTGGAGAAATCTTTCTGGAAGATTTCTAGGGAAGACAAGTACTTTACATTTTGACATAAACAAACTGGATTATATCGAAGACGCAGTCTACCATTTACAGACTACAGGTTTTCTTTTACACCTGTTTTCCACATTTAATGTTCTCCGTTGTAAATCTAGAGTCAATCCAACCACCGAAGCAAGAGGTCCAAGTTCCCGTTGCGTGTCGCGCCGTCTTTTTGCACGCTTGGAGCTGTTGATAGTGATCCGTGTCTAATAAGCCGGCAAAGGCAGGCCCACGACAGAGGAGCCAAGACCACAGCCTCAGTGGGTGGATCGAGTTTGAGTTTCCTCTGCTAAATATCCATTCGTAAGAAATAAGACCAATAAATAGTTGCTTTTTTTTTTTTTTCTGACACAGTAAGAGTCTTCCCTCCAGCTTTTCGTCTTTAATGATATGCAACAGCGTCCAGAGACCATGCAAAGCCTGGTAGAAAGTCTCGATATAAGCAGATTAAAAGATAGTCATGGCAGAATCTCTCAGGTTCTCCTCTCTCAAACAAACGCAAGACCAACATGGTTTTCTAGCAGTCCATCTATCAGTACTTGATCTTGGTTTTTCATATTAACATACAAATGGCCATTTACAAACACACCAGAGAAAAAAAGGAAACAATGACTGAAGTTGGAAATAGAAAAAAAAAAAAAAACAGATAAGTTTTTTGTTCCATAAAAATTTAACACCGGGCACTTTACAGAGGTCCATTTTTTTTTCTGTCCTTTCCATCGTTGTTCTCTCTCTTCCAAGTCCTCGTTTGAATGTGCCTAGAGCTACATAACAGCACACTGTCCCACTGGAAAAACAAAGCCCAGACGTCCCAAGGCTCTCCCAGAGTCTCTCTCTTTCGTTCCTTCCTTCCTTCCTTCCTTTCCTCTCCTCTCCTGTCTGTTGCCTCTTCTCAACCCTCTCTCGCCGTCTCTACTCTCCTGTGCCGTGTATGTGTGAGGAGCACTGCCGGAGGGCGATGGTGGAGTGGGTGGTTACAAGGTGAAGTAGCTCTTCTCTCTACTGTAGTCTTGACCAGTACTGAGACATGTCAGGCTCGCTCCCTGGGACTTGGACAGGGACAGACACTCCAGGAGAGATGAGTCCTGCAGAGACAAAAAGAGAAAGACATGAGCGCACAAACAAAACAGAAACAACCAAAAGAAAAGACAAGAAAGAAAGAAAAAAAGAAAAGCCCCAGAAGTCTACATGCCAAATTAGATGCACCATGCACAGTCAGTGTGACAGCTAACACGGGTTAGCCTTATAGCACAGAGCATTGTGCTTTAAATGCTTGCAAATAGGTGGACGAGCACGAGGCCGCAATGAGTCACAATGCTCTGCACACGGTTGCTCAGTAAAATGCTTGCAAGCTCGATAAATTGAGGCTTTGGCAATGGCATTTAAACAGAGAGAGTACAACAGCAAATGAATCAAATTAATTAGCAATTTAGCACAGAGGAAATGTGGTTATGCATGATTAACTCTTCATGACTATAACCGGTATATATGGCTCTCAGTAACAGCATCCTAATGGGGTGGAACTAAACTATGGGCTGGAGTCGTGGGATTGACATGATGGCCTAGAGTGGCGATGAAATGAGCTTTTTTTTTTTTTTTTCCATGCAACTGCAGAGAGAAAATGATATGGGATGTAGAGATATTGATTCTCAAGACACTGAAGCCATGAAGTTTCTCAAGTAGACGGAAAGGAAAGGGAGAGTTGCCGTGAAAGATCATGAATCAGAGATGGCTATGTAGTACCCCCTGATTAAAGGAAAGGTGGCAGATATCTCAAAGACTGTTTGCTCCTATTAATTCCCAAGCATGTTGGTAAACAATGAACTTTCTGCCTACCTGTTGAGGTGGTACCAGAAGTGGTCATTGATTGGCTGTTCATATGTGCCTGCATATGAGGGGGCGTGTATGTTTCGTAGCTCCGCCCGTTCACAGGCGGACTGGTAGGCAGCATGCAGGAATAAGAGGAGGTCTGGCTGGGCTATAGATGAGGAGAGAATGTTACATTAGCTTAGCCAACCATAGTTTTCAGCTCAGTAGTCTGTAAAGCTGCAGTTTAGTATGATTTTATTTTTGGAAATAATTCTTTTTAATATCAGGAAGCCATTATTCAGATTAAAAATATATGTAATTTAAAGGATTTTTTAAAAATTTAAAACATTTAAATTCATCATGGTATGTTTGATACCACTCTTATAATCACATCAATTATCAGAACATTCACATATTTTAAAAAAAAACATGGCTGTCTCACTGAATGGGAATTATCTTTTACTTACTTGCATAGGTAGATTATTTGCCATGGTGAAGCTGGGCATGGGGGGCAGCGCACTGTAGGTGTTTGTGAGTGCAGAGTCAGGTCTACCCAGCATTGACCCCGAGGTGAAAGACACTGAGAATGAAGAATGAAAATATGGTTTAAAAGAAAATAATAAAAAAAAAAATAAAAATCACACAAAAGTCCTCCCAAGTGTGAGAGATCATCTCATTAGTAGTGCGTGCGTGAGGCGACGTCTTTCTTTGACAGACTCATGGATAGGCCCGGACAGACTCTGTGTCTCAGGTGATTGACTTGTGAGCATGAGCCTTCAGCTCTCCCGGTGTGCCCTCGTGCCTGATTCGGTAATTACGCAGATAGTCAGCTGAGAAGTTTTGCTCAATCATCCATCAAAAGGAAAGCACCGGCGCTTCTCCGTGTGAACTAGAGCGCACAGCCACCGAGGCCTCTTTCCCCCGTTTTTATATGAATCCGCATGCTGTGATATAATAACGTTTAGTGATATTTCACATGGATCCTGTCTGACTTGAACCCATGGACAGCTATGTGTCGTTTTAGACATTATTTCAGCAGTGAAACTATGTGTTAGGCTAGTGTCACTAACTACTCCATGCCTGTGCGTAATTTTACGCAGCGTAAAATTTGACAAATTCTTTTTTTTAACATCAAGTTGTAATATTATTTGGAGGGATGGGTATGTGTGTGTGTGGTGGACCTACCCGGTGTGGTGGGCTGTGGGATGGCCTGGTAGACGCTGGTGCTGAAGCTGCTGCTGATGGGAATGTGACTGGAGGAGTTGTTGGCCTGCCGGCGCTGGTTCCGCAGCTTCTCCTCTCGCCTCCACTTTGCTCTTCTATTTGAGAACCATACCTGCGATGAAAATGACCTCGTTTTAGTTTTTTTTTCCGCGCAGACATTAAATTCGAGACAGCTTTTAAATACTTTTACACACAAAAAAAAAGTTGTGATCACTCACTTGTATTCTTGCTTCGGGCAGGTCGATTTTCGCTGCTAGTCTTTCTCGCGCGAAAACATCTGGATAGTGAGTTCTTTCAAATTCTGCAGTGCAAGAAATCAAAGTGTTAGGAAATAAGTGATAGATGAGGTGGACAGTGATAAATGTTTTGCAGGGCTTCAAGTGTAATAAATGTCTAAAACATTCAACTAGTGACGGTGAGAAACCGAGCAGCCTAACTGGTTTTCTTTAGTTTAATTACCAGACATTTGTTTAAACAGACAATTAATTATTAAATGTGTAAATTATTCTCAATTATCCGACCTTTTTCCAGTGCCTCGATTTGCTCCTGTGTGAAGGACGTGCGGTTTCTCTGTAGTTTCCTCTTGAGCTGCAGTCGCATCTGCGTCTCCTCTGAATCTTCTCCGTTCGAGCTGATGGAGTTTGTGTTTTCTCCTGCACCGTCTTGTTGTTGGCAGCCATCTGAGAGGGAAGAGGGGGAAAAAAAGAAAAGGAAAAAAAAAACACTTAATGGAAATATACATTCACTTAAGCTAATTGAATAATTAATTATCGGGCCTCATGTTGTATCAGCTTACAGCTAATTGTACAGACTGCGGTGCTACATCATTAATTAAAGCACCCATCATGCTTAATTTAATTCAAAATCGGAGGAATTATTGCAATTTCTTCTTAATGTTGCCAGATTACACACGACTGCCTGCGTGAAAGGGAACAATGTCAAATAAAATAAATAAAAGGAGAAAGAAAGGCTGCGCGGTTAGAACTGTTTATAAAATATTGTGGGAAAAACAGGCCGGCGAGGTAAGGTCCTGCGTACTTATCGCGTCCCAACAATGGCGTGTGTTCTC